ATGTATGTATATATTGATATAGTAAGGATAAAATACACTTTTTGCCCCCCTCTAATTTTTTTATAAGAAAAATCTATTATGTTTATATTAAATAAACTCAAAATATATATTAAAGTTCAAATTCATTAAATAAAAAGAAATAAATCAAATAATTAAAGTGACCATTTTTTTATTATCTTATTTCTTTTATCAAGATTTTAATAATGAATGGCATCAAGTATACATTTTAATTTTTTAAAAAAAATCCTCCAAATTTGAGATATATGCTTTGGTTTTATTAGTTATATATGTTGATTAATTAATTAGTGATTTATTGTGTGTTTTAATTATTTATTTACATTTTCAAAATGTACATTTACTAGTTTAAATGATTAGTTTTGAAATTGACAAAAATTAATATTGATTATTTAATTCATCTGATTTTTGTCTTTATCTCTCAAATTTTGAAATATTCAGTTAACCAGTAAAATGAATATAAGTTAATTATGACAAAATTTGGTGACAAAATAATTGACAAAACTTTTTATTTGATGTTAAGTGACAATCTATATTTAAATAAATGTTGTGGTTATTGTTATTATTATATTTTCTGTTATGTGAAAAAAATTCTAAAGTAATGATCGACACTTATGTCGACCGTACTCATATAATTATGACTTTATTACACATAGTATAATTAGAAATCCTTATCAATAATAATCACAATATCACTACTGGAAATTATGGAATTTCCGACCACTTGAAAGTGATCTTAAATCTAGTCGAAAGCTTTGTTCCGATCACTTTTGGTATCTGGAAAAACCTTTGTTGCTATTTTCGACCACTTTTTACTTTTGACTTAATTTAAGATTACTTTCAGGTGGTCAAAAATTCCATAATTTTCAGTAGTGATAATGTATGGTATATATAATAATATGGTGCAATTAATTATAATGTCGACTAACATTGTAAATTTTCTTTACTACTGCCCCCCCCCCCCCCCCCCCCCCAACTCAAGTTTTCTGGATCCGTCCCTGATTGTGAGGAATGGTCCACTTATTAGCTAGCCATCCATTTTTTGCGGACAATAGCCTTTTATTCTTCAAAGCTAATATCCAAGAAGCAATGACCATCATACAGACCGTACCCTTCAGACTTATGAGGAGGCTTCCGGATAGTCAGTGAACTTTAACAACTCCACAATCACATTCAGCTACAATACCACAGGCCAGTGTTCGTGATGATGAGCTTGCCGGACTTGGGTAAGTACCTTGGATTGTATTGTCATCGGTCATTGGTAGGCAGGAATAAGAAGAGGGTATTCAACTACATTTTAGAGATGGAAATTATTAAATAGGGTAGGCAAAGGCTTCATATCATCTTGGTGTAGCTAGCAACCCTCTGGTGAATGTTTGAAGTACCCCAGACCACAATCCCAATTAAGTGGCTTCACCAGATCAGATGTCAAGGTGGACAGATCATAGATGCTCCGCCATCTGCAATGATATGCGAAGGCCAAGCTTTAATTTGGCGCAGCATTATATTGTTTGATGACTCTGGAGGCTTTCTTGTTGCAACCAGTGGACCTATCTCGTATGTAAAGAGGCATTATCTTGGCTCAAGTCTCGCAACCTTAGCAAAGTATGGATTGAATCTGATTGCAAGAATGTTATCACTAGTATAGGTTTAGGAGGGATCTCTCTTATACTGCTCCCATTTTAGAACAATGTCTATTGTTACTTTACTCCTTTCATGAGTCTTTTTTCCGAACCCTATTAGTAGTATATCTCCCGACCGACCTAAGATGTTCTCCGCATCGTTCAGTACATCTCCTTTGGCCGAGCGGTGGAGCAGGAAGATGGTCGGGACCGGTCGTCCACGTACGCTTGTGTTGGCCTTCTGCTTATAGGCGTTCGAACCCGACTGAGTAATTCGCCTCCCGACTGATGTTCTGCTCGACCACCGTACCTTGGTTCCACATGGAAGCGGTATCGCTGGAGAGGGGCACGTGGCAGCGGCAGGTGTCGACAGAGGGTGGTTACCAGGTTTGGGCACGTGGATGCCGCGTGGAGTACTATATGCCGATAGGCCGGACGTTGTCCCTAGCGAAGGGCTATAAATATCCATGGCGGACAAGGCGAAGGGGACTTTTGGAACGATCAAGAGGCTACTTACAGATCAGCCTGACTACGGCCAGTCGACCATCGGAGTAGTCATTTAGATTGTACTAGGTCAACCGTGTATTTACACTCTCATTTTGGCACCGTCTGTGGGGGTCGGTACAATTAGTCACGAACGACGAAGTACCTACATCACAAAAACATGTATCCATATATGCAAGATATACAGGAGGATGCGGACAGCTCTTCCAACCATCACACACAGTATGGTCCAACCGTCGACCTAAACCTCAACCTCTCACCCCCTCACTCGGTGGCTCCTAACCTGGTCAATTATGTCCAACCGATGTATCCGCCACCTGGTCAGCAATTCCCGTACCCGGGATACTTTCCACATCCAGCACCACCCGCTCCCTATGGTTATTGGCCCGGGACCCCAATGTATTATCCGCCGGGTAATTATCAACCTTGTAAGCCTGCGTACACGGCTCAAGCTACTGTTCCCCCGAGCCAACCAGCAATACAGACCGAGTCCGAGCTCTAGCCCGGTCCCCGGACTAGGCGCTCGGCTCGCTCAAGGTTGGGATCGCAAGGGGCAGGGGCCACGGAGGAACCACGGCAGGAAACTCACGTCCAGGCGGTAGATGAGCTCGAGCCACAGGATAATCGCGCAAGCGCGTTTGAGCATCTTCGGCCGGCAATGCGCCAACGATTGGGACCACAAGACCCCGATAGGCGATCGGTTGACTCACGTATGCGTGTGGCCAATCAAGCGGACAGACAAACACGTATATCGGCAGACTATTGGTGGATTATATTGTAATTAATTAGTTGCAAATGGTTAGCTAACTAATACTCCTAATTAGTTAAGGGGAATACTACATGGATGGTTTAATTAGGTGTTTAGGCCAGCCTGCACAATTACTTCGCTAAGGTGGCTCAACCATTATTGGCCGTCTAGGGTGTGGTTGGTTCGCACATGGGAATCGGAATCGGAATGGGTATCAAATACTTGGTAATGGTAATGAGTTTTGTGAAAGTATTTAACATGTTTGGTAGTAGGGTGGAATGTGAATGGTTACTAATAATAGTGTTTGAGAATGAATAAGGAAGTGAAACCCTTATGTTATTTGGGTATGGGTTTTTCAATTGATGGGGGTATTCGAAAACCATAGTAGTGTTCTAAAAACCTATCAACCAAACAACATCAATCACTTTCATACCCATTCCTATGAGCAAAACCCACCAACCAAACACACCCTAGATGTAACTTTCATAATTTTTGAATGAAATGCATGATAATAGATTCATTTTGTTATAAATATATATTTAGTGGACATTATTGTGTGTAACAGATGTAACGGCTTTATCATTATTGTATCATTATTACCTTTATATATATATATATATATATATATATATATATATATATATGTATATATATTTATATATACGGGTTGTTGACACGAAGCTATGTGGGTGACTTTTGGTTGGTTAATGAAAGACTCTCTCCTTTCTCCTCTATCTATGTTTTTCTCTATTCTCTACACTATCAATTTCATGTCCATTCTATTGTTTGCAAGTTCACGGTTAGCAGCTAATGGCCAATGGGCACAAACAACATTACAACACGTTATCAGCCGCTCAATCCCGATGAACGGTACTTTAATGAGTTTTCTAAGCCTTATTAGATGATGCCTATAATTGCATATTTGTATTCTAGAAATATGTGACTATTTACAACTTTGGTATGATATACATATTTATCGCCTATGGTTGTTTATGTGATTTCATGTTTTCGTACATATTTCGATATATACATCATTTTCAAATGATCAATTCACAAAGTTTTCATATATATATATATATATATATATATATATATGTATATATATGTATATATATATATATATATATATATATATGTATATATATATATGTATATATATATATATGTATATATACATATATGTATATATACATATATACATATATGTATATATACATATATATATATATACATATATATATATATATATATATATATATATATATATATATATATGTATGTATAATTTTTTTTTATTCCAAGAATGGATGTTTCCGCAATGAACCTGGATGGTGAAGCTAATAGTAATGGAAAGAGGGAGGAAGGGTGGAAAGAAGAAAGAAGGAATTGGCTAAGGAGTGTGGAAGAAGAGGGTAAACGACGTCGTAAGAAGAGTCCTAGCTGGAGTCAATTAAACAAGCCTCAGACGACGTCGTTTTTGGACTAGTCGTTGGAGCCGTTAAAATTAAATAGAACGACGTCGTTCTGTGTATCCGTTAGCAGCGGTTATCCCAGCTTACGACGACGTCGTTCCATTCACCCCTTTCAACAGGCTCAACGGGTGGATCCGGGAATATAGGAATAGATTGTTGCTATTTTGTTGGAGTTTCTGCTTTAAATTGTAGCTGAGGATGAATAAGCTTTTTATGTTGAATAATAAACACATTTTCTCTTCTTTCTCCTCTTCAATTCTCTCAACCCTAATCTCTTCCCCATTCTCTTCCACCCAAATCTGATCTCTACTGTGAAGGGCATAGCAATTGGTATCAGAGCCCATGGAGGACCGTTTTCGCAGGCTTGAGGCCACAGTGGTTGAACTAAACAGCAAAATCGACAATAGAGCTCAAGCTACACAGGACTCAGTGACTGAGCTCAGTACCCAGGTGACTTCGTTAACTGCACAACTTGGTAATCTAGCTAACCAGTTTGGGAGCCTGAAGGAGGAGATGATCCAGCTAATTCGGTTGAATAGACTAGCCGCCCCCATCCTTCCTACCACCCCAGGGCAATCATCTGTCCAATGCCAAGTTCAGGAAGGTGCGTAACCGGTAGGCAGGCCTGATAAGGCACCAATGCAGGAGTTGGAGGAGGATGAAAATGAGCCTGGCCTGGGGTCACCATTGGCAGTTGGCCCAATAGATAGAGCCAACCTGGTTTGGGCTCCACGAAGGAGGCCAGGAGCTGAGGGCAGAATGGGACCAGTAGTACCACCACAAGACTTCCTCATGAGGGCACTTTTGATTATGCTCATACTAGGCAGTGGGTGATTAGGTGTGAAAAATTTTTTATCCTTGCCCATATCCCCAGAAATGAAGTACCTAATCTCTTGTATGTGCACTTAACTGGGAAGGTGGGATTATGGTATGATAGTTACATTCATGGGTTGATGGAGGAATTTCACTGGCCTAGATTTGTTGAAGCTATATGTAGAAGGTTTGGGGACAGTAAGGTCTCTGTGATGGAGGACTTTGCTGCCTTCAAACAATGGGGGAATGTGGATGACTTTACTGATGAGTTTGAGGAATTTATGAGCCTGCTCTTACAAATCCACCCTTGCCTGACTGAAACATATTTCATGGAAAACTACATAGCTAGGCTGAGGCAGAATCTTAGGTGTTTTGTAAGGACTGCAAGACCTAGAGATTTGGCTGATGCTATTTGGTTTGCAAGGCAATATGAAAAGGGCCTTAAACCTGTTGACACTCCTAGAAACTCTGCCTGGAATACCAGAAACAACCAGCCCACTAAAACAACCAGCTCCAGCTCAAATAGCCCTCTCCCAAATATCCCTATCCCCAAGCCAATACTGCCAACCTCTACCCAAAACTCCACCCAAACCACTGCTGCCAAGACCCCTGAAATAACCCAGTTCAGAAATCAGCTTAGGGAGCAGAAAAGATGCTTTAGATGCTTTGATCCATGGCAACCTGGGCATAAGTGCAAGGGGCTAACATTCAATATTATTGAGGATCAGGATGAAGAGGATGTTCCCATTCTGATTGAACACCCTGAGGATGAACAGACAGAAGTAGCAGGAGTTTCCTTATGTGCTGTAGTTGGGGGAGAAGGACTCAACACCATTAAGCTATTGGGAATGGTGCAGAAACAACCCATTGTCATCTTGGTAGACAGTGGTAGCACCCATAGCTTTTTGGATCCTAAGATCCTAAGTCAATTGAGAAGAGAACCACGGAAATGCACCCCCTCGAGAGTAACTGTTGCTAATGGGGATCAGATCACTAGTGACTCTATGTGCTCTGAATTGCAATGGCACATCCAGCAGGAGAGTTTTGTTAAAGGATTTAGACTCCTCAGACTTGGAGGGTGTGACATGGTGTTGGGGATGGATTGGGTGGACCAGTTTGCACCCATTCAATTACACACCAGGCCACCTGGGATATCCTTCCACAAAGAAGGCAAGAAGGTTTTCTTGAAGGGCTTGACAAGGAAAACATTGTTGCAGGCAGCCACTAAGAAGGAAGTGAAAAATTGGCATAAAAATGGGGTCCAGGGTCTGTTGGTCCAATGCCTCACTTCTCTACCTGAAACATCTCTGGAAAACCCTCATTGCTACCTTACCACCACCCATGATCTACCCTCTAACCTTGCAGCCATACTGGAGGAGTTCCAAGATCTTTTCCAGGAGCCCACAACTCTACCCCCACAAAGAATCCATGACCATGCTATCCCCCTTATCCCTGGAGCCCAGCCTATAAACATAAGACCTTATAGATACTCCTTTGACCAAAAAAATGTCATTGAAACCATGGTGGAAGAAATGTTGGCTACTGGGGTCATTACCCCTAGTACTTCATGCTTTGCATCCCCAGTCCTTTTGGTACCCAAAAAGGACAATACTTGGAGATTTTGTGTGGATTATAGAGCCCTTAACAGCATCACAATTAAAAACAAATTTCCCATTCCTTTAATTGAGGATCTGTTTTCTGAGTTGGCTGGTGCAAGGTATTTCTCTAAGTTGGATTTAAGATCAGGATACCATCAAGTAAGGATGAAGGAAGGGGAGGAATTCAAAACAGCTTTTAGAACACATCAAGGGATATACGAGTTTAGGGTGATGCCATTTGGTCTCACTAATGCCCGTGCAACATTCCAGGCAATGATGAATCACATTCTTAAGCCATTGCTCAGGAAGTCAGTTCTTGTGTTTTTTGATGATATATTGGTGTACAGCTCTTCTCTGGAGGACCACTGGGGACATCTAAGAGAAGTGTTATCCCTCATGAGACAGAACCTCTTATTGGCCAAGCTCAGCAAGTGCTCCCTTGTCCAAACACAAGTGGAATACTTAGGACACATTATTACTCAGGAAGGCTTGCAGACAGATCCTTCCAAGTTAGATGTTGTGGCTGCTTGAGAGGGTTCCTTGGTCTGGCAGGTTATTACAGAAGATTCATCAGGGCTTATGGGATAATTAGCAAACCTCTGACTGATATGCTTAAGAAGGAGGGATTCAAATGGAGTACTGAGGCTGAGGAAGCTTTTGAGCATTTAAAGAAGGCTTTGTGTCACTCTCCTATCCTCACACTGCCTGATTTTCAAAAGGAGTTCATTATTGAAGCTGATGCTTGTTACAAAGGGATGGGAGCTGTACTTATCCAAGAAGGGAAACCAGTGGCATTTTTTAGTAAGGCTTTTGGCAATAAACATCTTGGGCTTTCAATCTATGAAAAGGAGTATCTCTCCAATATTAATGCAGTTGAAAAATGGAGACCATATATTTTGGGAAGGCATTTCATCATTAAAACTGACCACCATAGTTTGCAGTTCCTTTTGGAGCAAAAAATCACTACTTCCCTGCAACAAAAGGGCCTGACTAAACTTTTGGGATTGGATTATTCCATACAATACAAGAAGGGACTTTAGAACACTGTGGCTTATGCTCTCTCTAGAAGGGAAGAATGCAATGAGGGAATATTGAACTCCATCTCAGTGATACAACCACAGTGGGTAGAAGAAGTTATCAAAAGTTATGAGCATGATAGCTGGACATCTGAGAAACTCACTTCTGCCTTGATTAGTCCCAGTGAAAACCCAACTATTGCAGTAACTGGGGGACTCATAAGGTACAAAAGAAGGCTGTATATTGTGGTCTCAGGGGCCCTAAGGAATGAATTGATCACCAAGCTACATGCATCTTCTATTGGGGTCACTCAGGCCAAACTGGAACTTACCAAAGGCTCAAGTCACTATTTTATTGGAAAGGGTTGAAAAAAGATGTCAAGGATTTTGTGAGGAGTTGTGATGTGTGTCAAAGGTGTAAGAGTGAAAATGTAGCATATCCTGGGCTCTTACAACCTTTGAACATTCCGGAGGAAGCCTGGCAGAGTATTTCCCTGGACTTTGTGGAAGGGTTACCAAAATCACACAATAAAAATGTCATCTTGGTGGTAGTTGATAGATTGACTAAGTATGCTCACTTTCTTGCATTAGTTCATCCCTATACTGCAGAAGGTGTGGCTGAGCTGTTCATGGAGAATGTTTATAAATTGCATGGGTTACCCAGGAGCATTGTGTCTGACCGGGACAAAATTTTCACTAGCAGGTTTTGGCAAGCTCTTTTAAAAAATATGCAGGTGCAGCTAAACTTGTCTACAGCCTACCACCCCCAAACAGATGGTCAAACAGAGAAGGTGAACCAGTGTTTGGAGAGTTATCTGAGGTGTATGGTGTTCCAAAAGCCAAAAAGCTGGGCAAAATGGTTGCATTTGGCCGAATGGTGGTATAATACCAACTACCATACCTCACTTAAATGCACACTGATGTTATCACATCTGTGCTTGTTTTTATGGTTATTTTGAATCATCCAGTAACTAAATTCTTTAATTTTGCTTATTTAATACATGTTTTCCTTGCTATTATCATTTAATTATGGTTCGCACTTGTTTTGAATATTTTACGGTGTTTGTTAGTGTTTTTGAACCATTTTAGGTCAAAGATATGACCAAGGGGAGTTCAAGGATGAGTTTGGAGCAATTTTGGATGAGTTCGGGGCCCAGTGGACTCGACGCGTCGAGCCAAGGGCTCGACACGTCGAAATTTTCCAGTAGCTAATTAATTCGCGCACAGGAAGTCTCGACGCGTCGAGAAAATTCTCGACGCGTCGAATATGCGTCTGTTTCTGGGATAAAAACAGACGCCTAAAGTGGCGCGGATAAAGAAAACAGACGCCTAAAGTGGCGCAGCTGGGCAAAATTCAATATAAGCGCGAGATTTCTTTTCCTAATATCAATTGCGCGGACTTCAAGGCTCATATCTCCATATTAAAAGTTAGCAATTCAAGGAATATTCCAAATTCTAAATATCATTAAAGACGACAATTTCTTTATTTAAATATAGGAATTAGAATTTGAGTCTAATTTGGTACAAGATTCCTATTTCATCTCAACTTTGTACCCACTATAAAATCCCTCCTTCCTCAACCCTAATGACAGAGACCGGGAGAATTCAGAGATTCTTGGAGACAAGAAGGAGAGAAATCAAGAGCCACAAGTTGTCTTGGAAAGCAAGAAGAAGACTAGGGAGATTTGGGAAAATCGTCTGGTTAATTCTTGTACTCTTTTGATGATTTGTAATTCTTTATTTATATTTGCTATGTATAATTTAGTCATGCTTGGCTAAATTCTTTAGAGATTCTTGGGTAAAAGTGTTTATGAACCTATGTGCCTGAGCTCTCAGTTTCTTTAAAATATTATTATTTGGGTTTAATACATGTGTTGCAATCGTGATAATATTGTTTGATGCTTGTAATTAATGGCCATAGTTACTAGCTTCATAGCCATGTTTTTGTCACCAATGGGAGTTGGGGCATAAATTAGGGCACACACGATTGCACCTAATGGTTGGTCCTTGGGAAAGGGGAACTTATTATGGGAAGTTTATTCTAGATTATTGCTCATCGGGAGATGGTAGTAATTATGAATAATTGAATGCTGATCTTTGATCTTATTGGGTGTTTAAGCCATGGGAGTGGAAATTCACTAGGAATAGAGATTACGGGAGTAATTCGATTCCACTTTGCATTCCCACACAAATCTTAATTCCAAACTAAATATTGCAAATGATAATTGGCACTAGGTGATTAAATACTTGAATCCCGTGAATCTCAACTTCTCTCTAATTGTTTTCAAAATCCTGAACCTCTGTTTTATTTTATTTATTTTATGCCAATCAATCATCTAAGTAATTGTTAGGATTAGCTCTAATGAATAAGTTAGTAACTAGTGCTTGATACAACCACTTCCCTGTGGATCGATAACTCGTACTCCGAGAATTAATTGTTTGCAAATATACTACGCATCAAATTGGCGCCGTTGCCGGGGAGGTGGTGCTTCTAGTATTAACATTAGTGAAATCTTTATTCTAGGAGACTAGTCCATTTTTATTTTATTTTTATATTTTATTTTGTTTTGCTAACCCATAACAAGTTCATTGTTTTGAGTGTGATTTAGTTTATGGATAGATATGCATTCCAAGGAACCATGCCACCGTTTTACCCTCCTTCTCAAGGTTATGAGATGAGTTGGAATATGAATCGAGAATATGGAGGAATGGAACAACAATTCCCTTTCTCAAATTTTGCCAACTCTAGTCAAGGATATTATCAAGAAAGTTCATATCAAACATCACAACCCCAATGGTGCTCATTTTGTGGTGGGAATCACTTTGTGGAAAATTGTTACATGCTCAACCCCACCAACCATATCCATCAACAATCTACTCAAGGATTTTGTGCCAACATGAGTCAAGCTACTTATCAAAGATGCACACCACCTACTCCACAACCCTCACGGTGCATGATATGTGGTGGATCTCATGAGGCGGAAAATTGCTTTATCATGGATCCCAATTACAAGTATCAAGGGCGAGCTCAAGAGTTGCCGTACCAAGAGTTTCAACAAGATTGTCAATCACTTGACCAAATAATTGAGATGAAGTCCAAAGAGACCAAGGTAATGCAATTGTGCTCGAAATATCTGGAGTTACAAGATCACATGAAGGCTCAACTTGATCGCATGAATGCTCGACTCGATCACATGATAGCTCGACAGCAAGATTTGACAATTCAAGAGCCACTTCAAGATTCATTTAATGGAGAGGTTCTAGAAGAGTTGCTCTTGCCAAATGAAGGTCATGAAGTTGAGAGAAATAAAAAGGATGATGAGGATCTTAGAGAGGGAGATGAAGAAATATTTGATAAATGCATTGAGATGGAGACACCAAGCTGGGAGGAAAATGTAGAGTTGCAAGGTAATGATGACAAGGAACATATAGAGAGTTGCCCATTAGATGAGGAAGTTCTCAATAGAGCACATGATTTGAATGAGGATGTCTCACCAATGGAGAACACTTCCCTTGGAGAGAACTTTAGAGAAATTTTGAATTTGGGAGGCATTGGAGTTCTTAAAGATAATGGCACACATTTGCCTATCTATATATCCAATGATTCCCAATACTTGCTGGTTCATGTGAATGATCCGAGACTCTCATTACTTGTTGAACAAAAGAGTGTTGAAAAAGAAGGAAAAGAGAATGGAGGCATAATTCTTGATTCGGGCAAATGTGGTTCCTTACATGATGACGTGAAGGGTTCGAGCTTAAGAGAATTTATAAATGGACACCACTTGAAGAAATACTTGGAAGAGAAAGTTGATGGAAAGAAGGGGATTTTTCTTCTCCAATCACTTGATGGCTAGAGAGGTAACGTCGAGCTAACGACGTTAAATTTAGCGCTTCATGGGAGGCACCCCATGTTATCTTTTATTACTTTCCCTATTTATTTATTGCTTTCTAGTTTCGTCTTATTTAGTTTTATTATTTTCTAGTTCATGATTATTTTATTGCTTCTTAGTTTTCTCTTTTCTCTTGTTCTCCTTTTCTTTTATGTTGCATCAGGGACGATGCAAAGTTTTAAGTGTGAGGGGGAGGAATCATTAATTTGGGGATATTTCTAAGTTTTTAAAATTTTTGCTTTTGCTTGGATGACTCATATGCTATTTTTGGTGAATAAGTTACTTGTCTTAGCATGCAGTTACAATTACTCTCTCTTGTTGGTTTGTGGTTTGTTTTAGTGGTGCTTGCTGCATCTCAATTTGTGATGGATGATTTGAGGTGTAACACATATTTGATCTATTCTCTTGCCAATAGCTTTGTTAACCACTTAATAATTGGATTAGTTCTTGATCTTGTGTTTTGCATTGCTAGTGAAGGCTTATGTGAGATTCCGGTCATGGGTGTTTTGCTAGAACTTGCCTCATTACTCCCTAAGTGATGTCTAAGTTTTGCATGTTTTGAAGTGATTTAGGCCATTTTTTTTTAGCCATAGCCTTTAAACCTGTCCCTATATATATTTTTATC